CAGATAGATTTCCAGAGTGGTTGTATCAGTTTACATTCCCAGAAGCAGTGGAGGAGGGTTCCCCTTTCTCCACAACCTCTCCAGCATGTGTTGTCACTTGAGATTTTCATCTTGGCCATTCTGATGGGTGTAAGGTGAAATTTCAGGGTCGTTTTGATTTGCATTTCCCTGATGGCTAATGAGGTTGAGCCTTTCTTTAAGTGTTTCTCTGCCATTCAATATTCCTCTGTCAAGAATTCTCTGTTTAGCTCTGTTCCCCATTTTTTAAGTGGATTCCCTTGTTTGCTGCTTTTCAGCTTCTTTAGTTCTTTGTATATACTGGATATCAGTCCTCTGTCAGATAAAGGGTTAGTGAAGATTCTTTCCCAATCTGTAGGCAGTCGTTTTGTTTTGATGACAGTGTCCTTTGCTTTACAGAAGCTTTTCAGTTTCATGAGGTCCCATTTATTAATTGTTGCTCTTAGAGCCTGTGCTATTGGTGTTCTGTTCAGGAAGTTGTCTCCTGTGCCAATGAGTTCTAGGCTCTTCCCCACTTTTTCTTCTAACAAATTTAGAGTATCTGGTTTTATGTTGAGGTCTTTGATCCACTTGGACTTTAGTTTTGTGCAGGATGATAAATATGGATCTATTTTCATTTTTTTGCATGTAGACATCCAGTTGGACCAGCACCATTTGTTGAAGATGCTGTCTTTTTTCCATTGAATGGTTTTGGCTTCTTTGTCAAAAATTGAGTATTCATAGGTGTGTAGGTTTATTTCTGGGTCTTCTATGCGGTTCCATTGATCCTCCTTTCTGTTTTTATGCCAATACCATGCAGTTTTTATTACTATTGCTCTGTAGTACAACTTGAGATCAGGAATGGAGATACCTCCACATGATCCGTTGTTGTACAGAATTGTTTTGGAGATTCTGGGTTTTTTGTTTCTCCATATGAAGCTGAGAATCTTTTTTTCAAGGTCTGTAAAGAATTGAGTTGGTATTTTGATGGGAATTGCATTGAATCTGTAGATTGCTTTTGGCAGGATGGCCATTTTCACAATGTAATCCTACCAATCCATGAGCACGGGAGATCTTTCCATCTTCTGAGATCTTCTTCAATTTCTTTCTTCAGAGACTTGAAGTTTTTCTCAAACAGGTCTTTCACTTGCTTGGTTAGTGTCACCCCAAGGTACTTTATGTGGTTAGTGGCTATTGTGAAGGGTGTTGTTTCCCTAATTTCTTTCTCGGCCATTTTGTCTTTGGTATACAGGAGGGCTTCTGATTTTTTTGAGTTGATTTTGTATCCTGCCACTTTGCTGAAGGTGTTTATCAGCTGGAGGAGTTCTCTGGTTGAATTTTTGGGGTCGCTCATATATACTATCATATCATCTGCGAATAGTGACACTTTGACCTCTTCCTTTCCGATTTGTATCCCCTTGATCTCCTTTAGTTGTCTTATAGCTCTGGCTAGGACTTCAAGTACTATGTTGAAGAGGTAGGGAGGGAGTGGGCAGCCCTGTCTTGTTCCTGATTTCAGTGAGATTGATTTAAGTTACTCTCCATTGAGTTTGATGTTGGCTATAGGCTTGCTGTATATTGCCTTTACTATGTTTAGATATGTGCCTTGTATCCCTGATCTCTCCAAGACTTTAAACATGAATGGGTGTTGGACTTTGTCAAATGCTTTTTCAGCATCTAAGGAGATGATAATGTGGTTTTTCTCCTTCAGTTTGTTTATGTGGTGGATTACATTGATGGATTTCCATATGTTGAACCACTCTTGCATGCCTGGGATGAAGCCTACTTGGTCATGGTGGATGATATCTTTGATGTGTTCTTGGATTCGGTTTGCAAGTATTTTATTGAGTATTTTTGCATCAATGTTCATAAGATAGGTCTGAAGTTCTCTTTTGTTGTTGGGTCTTTGTGTGGTTTAGGTATCAGGGTGACTGTCACTTCATAGAATGATTTTGGTAATGTACCTTCTGTTTCTATTCTGTGGAATAGTTTGAGGAGAATTGGTGTCTGAGTTTGTAGTCAATTTTAGAGAAGTTCCATGTGGTGCTGAGAAGAAGGTATATTTTTTTGTGTTTGATGGAATGTTCTGTAGTTATCTGTTAGACCCAATTGACTCATAAGGTCAGTGAGTTTCATTATTTCTCTGTTTAGTTTCTGTCTCGACCATTTGTCCATTGGTAAGAGCAGTGTGTTGAAATCTCCTACTATTAATGTGTAGGGTTTGATGTGTGATTTAAGCTTTAGTAATGTTTCTTTTACAAATGTGGGTGCCCTTGCATTTGGGACTTACATGTTCAGAATTAAGATGGCGTCTTGATCAATTTTTCCTTTGATGAATATAAGGTGCCCTTCCTCATCTCTTTTGATTAATTTTGGTTGAAAGTCTATTTTATTAGATATTAGAATATCTACTCCACCTTGCTTCTTCTGTCCATTTGCTTGGATAACCGTTTTCCGGTCCCTTTTTTTTAATTCTTTATTAATTACACTTTATTCACTTTGTATCCCCCCTGTGGTTCCCTCCCTCCTCCTGTCCCAATCCCTCCCTTCCTCTACCCTCTGCATGCATGCCCCTCGCCAAGTCCACTGATAGGGGAGGTCTTCTTTTCCTTCCTTCTGATCCTAGTCAATTAGGTCTCATCAGGAGTGGCAGCACTGTCTTCTTCTGTGGCCTGGTAATGCTGCTCCCTCCTGAGGGGGGAGGCTATAATTAAACTAATCAAGAGGGAGGATTCTTGCTAAAATGCTCAATCCCTAACCAGAAAGGCAAAGAGGATGGACATCAGAAGAAGGAGAAAAGAGGGAACAAGTCAGGAGCCTGACACAGAGGACCTCTGAAAGGCTCTGCCCTGCAGACTATCAATGCAGATGCTGAGACTTATGGCCAACCTTTGGGCAGAGTGCAGGGAATCTTAGGAAAGAAGTGGAAAACAGTAATATCTGGAGAGGACAGGAACTCCACAAGGAGAGCAACAGAACCAAAAATCTGAGCACAGGGGTCTTTCCTGAGACCGACACTCCAACCAAGGACCATGCATAGAGCTAACCTAAGACCCCTGCACAGATGTAGCCCATCGCAGTTCAGTATCCAAGTGGGTTCCATTGTAATAGGAACAGGAACTATCTCTGACATGAACTTATTGGCCTGCTCTTTAATTTCCAGCCCTTTATTCTGAAATATGTCTATCATTGTTGCCAAGGTGTGTTTCTTGTATGTAATAGAATGATGGGTCCTGTTTACACATCCATTCTGTTAGCCTGTGTCTTTTTATTGGGGAGTTGAGGCCATTGATGTTGAGAGAGATTAATGACCAGTGACTGTTAATTCCTGTTATTTTGATCTTGCTAGTGGGAGAGAGAGAGACAGTGGGGGGGGGGGGGACACACACATGTGCGTGTGCCTCCTTTCTTTTGCTGCTGTGGGATTACCTATTTCCTGTGTTTTCCTGGGTGTTATTAACCTCCTAGGTTTGGAATTTTCCCTCCAGTATCTTCTGTAGGGCTGAGTGTGTGGATAGGTATTGTTTAAATTCGTTTTTGTCGTGGAATATCTTGTTTTATCCACCTATGGTGATTAAAAGTTTTGCTGGGTATAGTACTCTGAGCTGATATCTGTGGTCTCTTAGTGTTTGTATAAGATATCTGCCCAAGCTCTTCTTCCTTTTAGATATTCTGGTGAGAAGTCAAGTGTAATTCTGATAGGTCTGCCCTGATATGTGACTAGGCCTTTTTCCCTTGCAGCTTTTAATATTCTTTCTTTTTTTTCTGTACATTTAATTTTTGATTAATTATTTGTGTTTGATTATTATATAACAGGAGGATTTTCTTTTCTGGTCTAATCTATTTGGTGTTCTGTAAGCTTCTTTCATACTTATAGGCATTTATTTCTTTAGGTTGGAGGAGATTTCTTCTATAATTTGTTAAAATATTTTCTGGGTCTCAGAGATTAAAGTCTTCTTCTATTCCTATTAGTCTTAGGCTTGGTCTTTTCATATTGTTCCAGATTTCTTGGATGTTTTGTGTCAGGAACTTTTTAGATTTAACATTTTGTTTGACTGATGTATCAATTTCTTCTATCATATCTTTCTTCTACACCTGAGATTCTCTCTTCCATCTCTTGTATTCTATTAATGATACTTTTGTCTGTAGTTCCTGTTTTCTTCTCTAGGTTTTCCATTTCCAGGATTATGTTTTCTTTTTTGCTTCAATTGCCATTTTTAGATCTTAGACAGTTTTATTCATTTCCTTCCCACTTTGGTTGTATTTTCCCGTGTTTCTTTAAGGGATTTATTCAATTCCTTCACCTGTTTGATTGTATTTTCCTGCATTTCTTTGAGGGATTTATTTTCTTCTTTTAAGGCCTCTAACATTTTCATAAACTCAGACTTAACAAGATTTTCTTGTGTTGCTGGTGTAGTAGTATCCTCAGGGCTTGCTGTGGTAGGATAGCTGGGTTTTGATAGCCTACGGCCCTGGGTTTTGTTAGTGGTGTTCTTGCACTGACCTCTAGCCATTTGGTTGACTCTGGTATTAGCAGACCTGGTGTCTCTGATCATGGTAGGTCTCTGGGGTTGTAGATAGAACTCGTCATCCCACGTGGCTGCATTCCTCTAGTTTTCTTGCTGATCTCTGAGCTCTGCTGGTCTGTGGGGCCACAGATCAGGGTGGGCCTTGGGACATGGCAAAGGCCTGGGAACTGGGGTGTGGGGCACACCAGGGAAGTAGAGCACAGAAGGCCCCTGGCAGACCTCACCACTGTTGCTGGTGGGCTGTGGCAGGCCAAAGGAGAGGGAAGGGTCTCACCTGCTGCTCCACACTGGTCTCAGGGGCCACAGGTTGAGGCGAGTCCCGGGAAATGGAACAGGCCCGGGAACTGGGATGTGGGGCGCACAGGGGAACTGAAGCACAGAACCAAATCTATTTTCTTTATAAATCTTTATTTTCTAAGTAATTAAACACTTACAAATTCTTTCTTTTTCATTTTTCTTCCTCTTCCTTGTTAGCTATTGTTTTACTTTAAGCAAATGAAATTTACTACCCATGATGGAAGACAAATGGAACTTGATGCCAATGGAGATATGGAAAGTGGATATTATGACATCCTCAATTGGCAAATGGATAATGCTGGAGAAATTGCTTTCGTCAAGGTTGGAGAATACAAATTCAAAAGTTCAAAATATGAACTTGTTCTTCAAAAGAACTCAACATTATTTTGGAACACTGAAGCTTCAAGGGTTAGTTGCAATACATAATATATATATATATACACACACATATATATATATATGTGTGTATATATATATATATAGAGAGAGAGAGAGAGAGAATACTGTATTTTCTCAGGCATTAAATACATGCAAAACACCTAAAGTTTTTGCCATATTTCAAATCAATTTCCTTAATGTAGCATGTTTTCTCATATTGTTATTTGTCTATTTAGAATTTAAAGAATCCATGTTATACTAAAACACATGAGATTTTAATACAGTAGTGTATTGATATTTTGAAAATGTTTTAAGAGAACATAGTAATTTTATTTTTATTACCTGTATTAAAATTGGAATTATGTTTTTATGATTTTTACTTTGTAATATGCATTTATTTCACCTATTGGGTCTCAAAAGGTGACAAAGAGTGTCAGAGACAGCCCCTGCTCCCACAGTTAGGTGTCCCACAGGAAGATCAAACTACACAGTTATAATATAGAGAGAGAGGGCCTAGGTCAGTCCCATGCAGGCTCCCTGGTTGTTGGTTCAGTCTCTATGAGCCTCTGTGAGCCCAAGTTAGTTGATTCTATGGGTTTTCTTGTATTGTCCTTGACCCCTGTGGCTCCTACAGTCCTTCATTTCCCCCTTTTAGACAGGATGCCCTGAGCATCACATAATGTTTGGTGGTGGGTCTCTGCATCTATCTCCATCAGTTGCTAGATGAAGCTTTCCAATGATAAATCAGCTAGGCACCAATCCTAGTATAGCAGTCATTTCACTGACTTTTTTTTTTTTTTTTTTTTTTTTTTTTTGCCAGCTGTGCTTGGTTCTACCCTAGGTTTCTGGGCTGTCCAGCCTCTGGATCCTAGCCCTTCAGGCAGTGCCAGGTGTGAACTTCCTCTCCTAGTGGGAGTCTCAAGTTGGACCAGTTATTGGTTGGCTACTCCCACAAATTCTGTGTAACCTTTACCCCAGAACATCTTGTAGGCTGGACAAATTGTAGATAGAAAGTGATGTGGCTGGGTTGGTGTCCTAATGCCACTACAAGACATCTTACATGGTTACAGGAGATGGCCAGTTAAGGCTCCGCATACTCTGTTGCTTAGGATCTTGGCTAGGGTGACCCTCTTAAATTCTGGGAAGTTTCCATTGCATTGAGTTTCTAGCTCATTCCCGAGATGGCCCCAAATTCCAGTTGTCTGCCCCCTTATTCTCGCTCTCCATCTTCCTTCCCCCACACACACCTGATTCCGTTCCCATTCCCTCACTATTCTCCACTTACGACATCTATTCTGTTTTCCCTTCCCAGGAAGATTCATTCATACATAACTCCCTAAGTTTTCCTTGTTACTTACCTTCTCTGGGTCTGTGAACTGTAGCATGGCTATCATTTACTTTACAGCTAACATCCACTTACATTTGACTACAGAACACATTTGTCTTTCTGGGTCTGGTTTACCACACTTAGGATGATTTCTTTCTAGTTCCAGCCATAGACAATTTGCCTGCAAATTTCATGATGTAATACTCACACTGTGTGTTGTATACCACATTTTCTTTAGCCATTCTTCAGTTGAGGGACATCTAGCTTGTTTCCAGTTTCTGGCTCTTAAGAATAAAAATGATATGAACATAGTTGGGCAAGTGTCCTTGGGGTATGGTGGAGAATCTTTTGGGTATATGCCCAGTAGTGGTATAGCTGGATCTTCAAGTAGGTTGATTCCCAACTTTCTGAGTAACTGCCACATTCATTTCCAAAGCGGCTGTACACATTTTCATTCTCACCAGCAAAGAAGGAGTATTCCCTTTGTTCCACATCCTTGCCACAATGAGCTGTCACTTATGTTTTTGATCTTTTTTTCTCTTTTTTTATTGTTTATTATTATTAGTTACATTTTATTAACTCTGTATCCCAGCTGTATCCAGCTCCCATATTCCCTTCCAATCCCACCCTCCCTCCCTCAGCTTCTCCCTGCCCCTTTCCAAGTCCACTGATTGGGGAGGACCTCCTCCCCTTTCGTCTGGTCCTGTTTTATCAGGTATCTTCAGGACTGGCTGCAAAGTCCTCCTCTGTGGCCTAGTAGGACTGCTCCTCCCACCAAGGACCATGTATGGGTATAACCTAGAACTTTTGCTCGGACAAAGCTCATGGTAGCTCAATAACCAATTGGTTTCCCATAGTAAGGGGAAAAGGGACTATCTCTGACAGGAACTCAATGTTTTTGATCTTATCCATTTTCATTTGCAATGCTCTAGTGGCTAAGAATGTACAACAAGTTTTTAAGTGTTTCTTGGCATTTGAGATTTCACTGTTGAAAATTCTCTCTTTAGATTTGTAGCCTATTCTTTAATTGAATTATTTGGTTTGTTGATGACTAGTTTCTTGAATTCTTTACGTATTTTGAAAGATAGCCCTCTGTCAGGTGTGAGATTGGTGAAAATCTTTTTCCATTCCATAGGCTTTAGTTTTGTCTGAATGGCAGTGACTTAGCCTTTCAGTTTCATGAAGTTGCATTTATTGATTGTTGCTCTTAGAGCCTGAGCTGTTGGTGCTCTGTTCAGGGAGTTGTCTCCTGTGCCAGTGCCTTCAAGGCTCTTCCCTACTTTATCTTCTATCAGGTTCAGTGTATCTTGATCCATGTTGAAGTCGTGGTTCCATTTGGAGTTGAGTTTTTTTCTAGGATGATATTTGCATTCCTTTACATGCCGACATACTGTTAGACCAGCACCATTTGTTGATGATGCTTTTTTTTTTTTTTTTTAATTGGATAATTTGGGCCTCTTTGTCAAAAAACAGGTCCTTAGGAGTGTGGATTTACTTCTGGGTCTTTGATTCAATTTCATTTATCCACCTGTCTGTTTTTATGTCAATATCAGGTGGTTTTTATCACCATAGCTCTGGGGCAGGTCTTGAAATCAGAAATGGTGATAACTCAGGAATTTCTTTTATTGTTGTACAGGATTGTTTTAGCTACCCTGGGTTTTGTGTTTTCCATATAAAGTTGAGTATTGTCTTTTCATGGTCTGTAAAGAATTGTGTTAGAATTTTGATGGGGATAGCATTGAATCTGTAGCTTGCTTCTGGTAGGATGCGCAAATTTACTATTTTGAACATGAAAGATCTTTCCATCATCTGTTATCTTCTCTGATTTCCCTCTTCAAAGACTTGCAGTTTTTGTAATAAAAGCCTTTCATTTGCTTGGTTAGAGTTTTATCAAGATATTTTATGTTTTTGAGGCTATTGTGAAAAGTATTGTTTTCTTATTTTTTGTTTGTTTTTGTTTTTCTCTCAGCTAGTTTATGTATGTAGCTATTTGTATGTAGGAGGGTTGTTGATTTTTTTTTTTTATGTTACTCTTATACCAAGTCACTTTGCAAAAGGTGTTTATTAGCCGTAGGAGTTCCCTGGTAGAATTTTTGAAGTTATGTATTATATATATATACAATAGTTTGACTTCTTTTTTTTCCAATTTGTATCCCCATGTTTTTCTTTAGTTGAATAGATATGGAAAGAATGGACAGCCTTTTCTTATTTCTGGTTTTATTGGAATTGCTTGAGTTTCTCTCCATTTTAGTTGATGTTGGCCATCAGCTTCCTGTATCTTGCCTTTATTATGTTTAGGTATGTCCCTTGTGTTCTTGATCTCTTCCGGACTTTTATCATGAAGGGTGTTGTGTTTTGTCAAAGGCTTTTTTAGCATCTAATGAGGTGATCACATGGGTTTTTTTCTTTTAGTTTGTTTATATGATGGATCGCATTGACAGATTTTCATATGTTAAACCATTCCTGAATCTGTGAGATGAAGCCTACTTGATAATGGTAAACAATCTTTTTTATGTGATTGTGAATTTCATTCTCGAGTATTTTATTGAGTGTTTTTGCATCAATATTCATGAGGGATATTGAGCTGTTCTTCTCTTTGTTGATGCTGTAGTTTTGGTATCATGATGACTATAGCCTCATAAAGTAAATTTGGCAATGCTATTCATATTTCTAGATTGTAGAGTAATTTGAGGAGTATTGACATTAGCTCTTCTATGAAAGTCTGGTAGAATTCTGTGTTGAAGCTTTCTGGCCCTGGGCTTTCAGGGATGGGAGTTGTTTGTTTGGTTTTGTTGTTTTGGTTGGAAGACTTTTAATGACTGTTTCTGTTTCCTCAGGGGTTATGTGCTTATTTAAATTGTTTACCTAATCTTAATTTAATTTGTTAAAAGATATCTATAAAGAAATTTGTACATTTCTTTTAGATTGTGCAATTTTTTGGAGTACAAATTTTTGAAGTATGACCCAATGATTCTTTGAATTTGCTCACTGTCTCTTGTTATGCCCCCCTTTCTTTTCTGATTTTGTTAATTTGGATATTCTCTCTCTTTTCTCTCTCTCTTTCTCTCTCTCTCTCTCTCTCCCGTGTGTGTGTGTGTGTGTGTGTGTGTGTGTGTGTGTGTGTGTGTGTG